CCGACCTCTCTGGACCGGAGAGGTCACTGCAGACGGGGTCTGCGGGTAGTTGGGACGTCCACCGAAAGGGAGGAGGAATCTTTGGAAAGCCACCCTCCAACCTAGCTTCTTGATACTAGTAGAAAAGCCAGGAGCTATACTAGTAGCTTCTTGATACTAGTAGAAAAGCCAGGAGCTATACTAGTAGCTTCTTGTTCCTAGTAGCAAGGCCAGGAGCCCCGAACGTAGCGTCCTTGCCCCTAGTAGCGATGCCAGGAGCCCCTAGTAGCGATGCCCTTCACCTGTTCATGAGGTGGTGGATGGTGTCCATCAACACGACATCAAGTGGAATGGCCCTGTCAACTCATCCTCAGGACGAGAGGATGGGCATCTTGCGAGCGCACCATCCCCCAGAATCGCGCAGCGGTGGAGGTTTTGATCCAAGAATTCGCACAGACCCCCTGGTGCACTGTTTCTTTCGACTTCAAAGACCTTCCACGCTTCGTCCCCAAAAGCCCACACCCTTCGACCCCCCCGCAAGCCGAACCTCGGACCCCTCACCACCCCCTCGCAGCGAAGCGAAGCCCTCGCAGCGCGCCGAGGTCATCCTGGGACGTCCCAACTACATCGACGCCCCGAAGCCCTTCGACGATCCAGGCGGGGCTCGGTGTCCGGGGGACGCGTCGGACGCTTCGGACGCTTAGACCGGACCCTTGGGACGGACGGTGGGGGCCGAAACCGGCGAAACGGATGAAGCCAAAGGGCAAAGGGCACAGCATTTCTTCACATGCTCAAGTTTGGATGGCTGGCGCAGACTTGCTGGTAGAGGACTGAGTCGGAAGTGACAAGAGGGGCAAGATGGCACCTGTGGGCATCATCCAATTCCATGGTTTCTGTCAGAAAAGGTGTGATGCCAGATCGTATGGGCCAGATCGTATTTGGGTGCTTAAGCAAGCCAAAATCGATTCCTTTCTCGTGGCTTGGTCCATGTCATCGGCCACAGAACCTGGGTCGCCACGTCCGACCAGTCGGAGCTGCGTACCGATCGGGCAAGGCCGACGGGCCTTGGAGCACAGCTGCATGAGCGGCTCATACCATTCGGTGATTGGCCACCCGGCAGGGCTTTCATGCTGGAGCAGGTGGAGGCCATGGCTAGTAGGTTGGAGGCCTTTGCTATTAGGTGGACGAGTTTCACTTGTTTGGATGAAACTGGGCTGCCACCAAGCGTATTTTGACGGGGTGCAGTAGAGGTGCCACCCACGTTTGATACCTTTCAGAAGGATTTGAACAAAACCTGACAAAACCAAGCGGTCGAAACTGCCTGAAAGCAACCAACAGAGGTTGAAGGACCCTAGTTCGCCTATCCCATAGGTACCCCAGTAAGGTCCGATAAGGTCACTTAACCTCTCGTGGAATGTTTTGGGAAGGGAAGGGAAGGTCCAGGAATTGTGCGCACAGCTTCCACAGACCGGACAGGATGGGTCCAGCTTACCACCCCACAGTAAAAATCATTGCACTTCAAGCTGGCTTCGACCAACTGGCCTTTCCTGAAGCGTTCACAAAAAAACCCATGCCTTTTTCAGCGAGTCCTAGTTCGACTATTAGGTACGCCCAGGTGTTCCGGGTCCTATGGGTCCCAGATCACGGATCACTCGGGAGTGGACTGGACGGCTTTCGGGTCCGACCTGAGGCGATCGGATCAAGGCGCGGACGAGCGGTGCCGCGCCACGCGCGCTTTCGGAGCGAAGTGAGGAGGTCCGAAGTCGGCCTCCAGGGGGGTCCAGTAGCAAGGCCATTCCATTTTGTTGACCCGCAAGGCCTTGGGATGCTTTTTCACGTGTTGATGTCAAGCCATTAGATCTCCAGTCAGGTCTTACTTAGCCATTCCACCACCCTGCACTGGCAAGGTCAACTCTCGCAAACCTGGTTGCCCTCCAACACACGCACAGATTGCCCCATTTTGACCTGTGGACCAATAGAGACACGAAAAGCCAGTATCCAGTACTGTTTTGAACCACATTCAGGTTGGTTTGCCTGTCCTTAGATCCCCTGCCCACCTGCTTAAACCTTTAGTACTTTAGCAGCAAAGAGCTGGATGCAATTTGCTGTCGGCACGCTCCGAAAAACACGTAAGAATGTCCGGAGAACTTCGAAGCATTGTTCCGAAGTCAATGGCACAAGGATTTGTGAGTTTGTTTTGAATTGTCCTTTCACATTTGCAGTTCAGCCTGTCCACAGGTGTTTCACCGGACTTCGCGCACCACCTGAGACCTCCTCTAAAGAAACACCGCCAGGTCTCCAACACCTATCGGGAGATGGCCGGAATCTCAGCCACCGTGCCAGCGGCGAGCGGTGACCGGGGGCTGCTGGGAAAAGCGAGGGCGCAACACAAAACTGATCCAGGCACGTGATTCTTGGTGCTTTACTCGAAGAACGGGCGCAATGAACTGCACAGGGCTGAGGAAACAAAGACCCGCTCCCTCCAGTGCTTTCCACCGGTAGCTCCGGTCCGAGCACCCAGTTCAGCGGATGGAAACAGCGAACTATTGAAACGATTTATTTGGACACTTCGCTGCTAGTAGGTTGGAGGCCATTGCTAGTAGGAGGCCATCGCTAGTAGGTTGGAGGCCATTGCGGTTCCACATATCTCGCAGGATCAGACCCACATAGACCCACCAGCCCATGCGGAGCGTGACCGCAGTTCACACAGAGGTTGTGTTCATGAGGCGATGCAAACCCGCTCAGGTCGTCTATGATCACTTCCAGGCCTATCCTCACTTTATCTTATGGTATCAGCGCAAGTGAGGACAAAGCAGCTTGCTTGCAACTGTTGAGTCGAGAGAGATTCCCCCAGGAGTCACAGGAGTCCCATTCAGAAGAATTGGGGGCGTCCAGCCCAACCGAGTCACGCACCAAATGGAGGATGCGACTGAGGCACCTCTTGGGGATGGTGGAGGGGAGAGGCCCGCCCCCCAGAAGCTGAACATCCACTAGAACGGTTCCGTGGCTTTGGAGGCTAAACCGCGTGTGACGCTGAAAAAACCCTTCCACGATCTTCAAGGGGCCATCGATCTCACAGAGCCTCAGATGTTCCTCGATTCAAGGCAGGTAGGTGGTTGGGAGGCCATCGCTAGTAGGTTGGAGGCCATCGCTTTTAGGTTGGAGGCCATATACTTCAGGATGTCGAGCCGATGGGGTTTCTTCGGGTTGGTTCCGACTGGAATCCTTGACAGTTGCATTCGCTGATTTCAGGATACCTGGCAAGAAAGGGCTAAACAGCTTGCAAATGCGCACTCATTTGTTAAGTTTTGCAGACCCACGAGCTACGGGAGCATATCTTTCGACCATCATAGATGACTGCAAAAACAGCTAAGGCATCTCGCTTGCATCAGCAACCTCAGTAGCCGCGTGTGAGCCGTTCAGGGAAGGGCGATTTCACCCTCCAGATATCATCCTTGTTCCAAGGAGTGGCAATTGAGATCTACATACAAAGCGGTTGGGACAGGGGAAACACGCAGTTGTTTCTAGTGGGGACTCGGTTTCCAGAGCCAAGTAAGGTCTCGAGCCTCCCACTCCGGTCGACCTGACCTTTCTCAAAGGAGCTGTCCTCCAACCTAGCTTCCAAACCTACTTGCGATGGCCTCCAACCTAGTTGCTTTCTTTTCTGAGAAGTTGGTTTCTCTTGAATGTGCGTTTGAAACCCCCAAAAAAGGGACCTCTCTGGCGACATGTGTCACCTTTTCAAGCCCAGCGTTCACCCCCAAATCGACCCGGGCCCAAAAAGAAAACGCCCAGAATCTGGATGAAAACACAAAATTTGCGGCCCCCCAGGCGCAGGTCTTTCTTTCGGCTTCTACGGGATCCGTCCCACATCGTCGCTTCTCTTCCGAGATCGGTTCAAAGGGTCGTCGGTTCCGACGATCGGACCTTGCCTCTTCGGGTGTCCCGTCCTCGCTCTCCCTTGGGAAGGTGCCATTGCGGCAGGCCAGGTGGGTCAGGGCCCACAACGAACTGTGTTCCTTCAAAAGGTCGCTCGTCCTAGGAACGGGATCCATCGCAAATCCCTCTCAAGACTCAACCACACGCGCGTGTTGGCGTCCTTCTCGACGCACGACGTCGCTCGGCCCCGATGCCGTCGAGCGCGAAATGCGAACTCCCGTTTCACCGGTCATGCTGACTCCACATGGAGGAGGCGTCGACGATGTGATCGGAGCGGAGTGAAATGGATCTGCTTCGGTCGCTTCGGTCATCCGAACACCCGATTTCGCTCCAGCCCCTGAAACGAGTGACGTAAGAGTGATCCAGTTTTGGGAAGTGGTCGAATTTTTCCCAGTTTGAACCCTTTAAAGATATATAGGTTCGGAGGCCATCACTAGTAGGTTGGAGGCCATCGCTTCTAGGTTGGAGGCGATTACTACTAGGTTTGGAGGCCATCGCTATTAGGTTTGGGGGTTTGTGCGGATCGGAACGTTGAGCTTGGTCGGCTACTACACCCTTCAGGGCATCTAACACTTTGAGACAGAGTCCGCCAGATGTTGTTTGAATCATGGGGACAGAAACGAAGGTAGGCATTTGGAAGACATCTTGGAATTCCCGAGTGCAAGACTTCCTGGAAGAGCTGAGCTTCACTGAGCTTCACTGTGGATCTGCTGGGGCGATGGGTGGAACACCGCGGCTGCGAAAGCAGACACCGAGCGAGACAAAACGAGCTGCGACACCGGAGCGGAGCGGAGCTTTTCGCCGCTCGCGGCGTCCACGAGGTGTGGAGAGAGTGGGCCGAAAAGGACTCAGGCGGCGTACCATGTTTAAGTCCGGACAAACAGCTGGAAGATAAGACTTGCACTGTCCAACAGCAAACACAGAAATATATGTTTGTTATACTATAGCTTCTTGTTACTAGAAGTGATGGCCTCCAACCTACTTGCGATGGCCTCCAACCTCATAGCGAACATATAGAAAAAGCACCGACTTCATGGAGAAGTGGATAGAGTTGTTCATGTTACATGAAGAACTTCGGGAAAGCGGGGGTGATTGCTCCAGCCCATCCCATTCGACTTCGTTCGATGTCGCAACATGCACTGCTGAGGCCTGGGATTGATGCGGAGCTGTCCACGAAGATCGTGCGACAGGCGCCGTCACGCGCCGCCACGCGCCTGGCGCGTCATCCTGGGCGACAGGCGTCTGTGGAGATCTGTGAGAGAGCAGTGACTGCTGGGAGGCCATCGCCAGTAGGTTGGAGGCGATGGCTATTAGGTGTCTTTCTTTATTTCTTTTTATCTATTGTAGATTTGCAACCGTTGGGCGATTAGATTTGATCGTGGCCTGCTGCGTTTTGCTGTTGGGAAGTGGGTACCTGCTCGTGACTTGTAGCTGTTTGAGATGGGGATGAATTTGTCCTGGTGGCGAAGTGGGTAACTGATTCGAAGAGAAGTCTGTGGTTTGGTCGGTGTGTATCATTCAGCCGGGCCAAAGCTACTTCAAGTGTTCAAAATGTGTGGGAAGCACTGGATGTTCCTGTGTTTTGCAGGGAACTGGTTAGGGGCACCCCCATGAGTCTCCTTTATAACCTATCAAAAGCCAAATTGCACAAAGCAATATGGTTGGGTTGAAATACTCAGGAGCCCACTCGTTTTCCTCCATGGTTCCTTGTTTCCGTGTAAAGCAGGTATATTTGGCACACCGATGCGTAAGAAGATCAGCTCTGGCTTTGGCACACCCCTGGCTGAGTTTCAATGAGTCAAACATGAGCTCTCCCAACCTCCCCAACCTCCTCCTTCGTTGGTTTCTCGCAGATCCAGAAGATCAATTCCTTTTTTCACTGGCTGTGAGCCAAAAGTGAATTCAGGAGCAGTTTTGGGTGGAAACGACGGGTCATCCTCATGCGGCCCCCTTTGAGCGCTGCAAAGCGATCCAACTTCCGACCCAAAGACTGTGGAGAAACTGGAGAGTTTGAAAGACGGGCAATTCTTAGCCAAGCAAAAGCATTGTTTAAGGAACTAGTAACAAGAAGCTACTAGGGGCTCCTGGCCTTACTACTAGGAGCAAGAAGCTACTAGGGCTCCTGGCCTTACTACTAGGAGCAAGAAGCTACTAGGGGCTCCT